GAGCCCGAAATAAACCGTTCACAAACAAAGAGTGGTTTTGACAACCATAATCACATAGTCATAAGAGGTTAAAAATTGATGCAAGATTTAAAAATTATTATTTATATTAAAATATTATTTGAATCAAATTTAATAATTTTTATTCAATTTTTTTTAATTAATACTTTTAAATGACTATAATTTTTTATAGCCTAGTAGTCAATTTAATTTTAAAAAAATACCATTCATCAATATGTAGATATATAATTGATGAGTAGTATTTTGAGTCTAAACGAGCCAAACATAAATGAACAAATTTTTATTTGTGTTCGACTTATTAACTTAGCGAAGGAGCCGAACACGAGCAGCTTGTGAACAACAAGCCCTTTTTGACGTCCCCATGTAAATGCATAAACATTAGGTGCTATGCATGTAAATTCCACTTTTATCAAGGTGTTTTAAGATAATACTTTCGAAAGCTACATAAGAAAATTCAGATTAATTTATAATTAATTCATAATTAAAAGTAATTTTGTTCTCTCTATTGCTCCGTCCTCCGAAAGCAAAAGGAAACCTTTAAGCCGCAGCCACGCGGCCAACCGAGGCGGTCAACACACCGCCACCCACGGTGCCGTGCTGGGCGGGCGGGATGGGCCTCCCGCGTCCCCTCTGGCGCGGTCTCGAAACCTTCCGCGTGCGCCGCACCCCACCCCTCCCCACCCACCCTCACCGTACCTCCCCTATCATCTATTACTCCCCACAACCACCACCAACTCCACCCCTCTCATGGCCTCCCCCGCCGCTTCTTCCCCTCCGCCGCCCACCCCATCCGGGGACCAACCAATTCCGGCGCCCAACCAATCCGCCGCGGCCTCCCACCCCCCTGCTGGTCCCACGAAGAAACCCTAGCCCTCATCGAATCATACCGCAACAAATGGCACTCCCTTCGCCGCGCCAACCTCCGCGCCGCCGACTGGGACGAGGTCGCCGCCGATCTCTCCCGAACCTCATCCCACCTCCCCTCCGCAACCCCCAAGACCTCCGTCCAGTGCCGCCATAAGATCGAGAAGCTCCGTAAGCGCTTTCGTTCTGATCGCCTCCGTTCCCTCACCCTCCGCCCTCACGCTCCTCCCACCTCCACCTGGCCGTTTTTCCCACTCATGGAATCCTTGGAATGCCCTCCCCCTGCTTCCCTCTCCGGTTCCACCTCCCACTCCGATGATGCCGACAACTCCCGCAACATCCACCGCCGCCTCCTTTCCAATGGCGAAGGGCTCCGATTCACGATACCGAAGGCAGTCCGGTCAAAAATCGTGAACCCTAGCTCCGGAGGCGGGAAGCTGAAGACTGAGTTCTTCGATATAGGGGTGAAGCCGGCGAAGGAGCAGATGAGGCGGAGGCTGGAGAGGAAGAGGAAGGAGGAGATGGAGCAAGGGACGCTCGGTGGGATGGTGGCTGCTCTGAGGATGGTCGGGGATGGATTTATGAGGATGGAGCGGGTGAAGATGGATGTGGTTAGGGAGACTGAGAAGATGAGGATGGAAATGGAGCTGAAGAGGACGCAGATGATTTTAGATTCCCAGCAGCGGATTGTTGATGCGTTTGTGGAGGGTTTTATTGGTGGGGTGAAGAGGAAGAAGGCCAAAATTTCTCCAGATAGTTGAATTTCAGATGAGTAAGGTTTTGCGATGGATAAACTTATTATTATCAGTTGGCTTTTGACTTTGTTCGCAAGAACTTTTCTGGATCCAATTGATATGTATGTGTTCCTCTAGTCCTGCGTGCCAGTTGCTTCCATTGCTTTATTAGGTTACAGTATTTCTTTTCGGTGTAAGATATCAAATAACTTGGCTAATGTAAAAAGTTGTTTTAGTAACCTTATCTTCATGAGTTCCGTGGTTTAATCATTAATGCCTCACTGTTTACACTTGGTTAAAGACGTAGAAATGATTTTGTCGAATTGGATTTTTGTAATACGATTCCATGTACTTGCATTGAAGTTTAATTGTGGCAATTTGTGGTGCTTTGAGCTGATCCTTCAGTTTTTGTTATACTCACTGCTCTGTCTACTTTTCATACTTTTACTGATTAGTGCACTTATCTACATGTTTCGGTTGAATAATTTACTATTTTACATACTCAAGCACTTGTGGCTATTGAGGCTCATGAGGGCCAAAAACAGTGAGAGGAGAGTCACAAAGAATTGGATCACAACATCCTGAAAGGTAATCGTAGGCCTTTATGTTCTAACATAAGATGGAAGACAAACTAATGATACATTATTTGTTATTAGAGCACTCCATGGAAATGAAACAATACAACTTTGAAAGAAAAAATTTGGTTTCACCTTATGTCTCAAAAGACAAAAAAAAAAATATGTTAATCGAATGAATTTGAGATTTCCTCTGCTAAATACTTGGTATCAAATAAGATTTATTTTATTCTAGATAATTAGGTTTCACATGGGCACTAGCTCTATGATTTATTATATCTTGTATAAAAAGCCTAAGAACACTCTCGAGCAAGGATGCTTGTTCATTCTCATTTTTATGGCACATATTAGGCTTTCCAAGTGAGATTATCTTCCAATGTAAGAAATATTCAAGAGCCTAAGAACATTTTTTATTAAAGATGCTTGTTCATTTTCATTTGGTGTTTGTCACGTACCATCAAGACTTTTAAGTGAGATTCTCTATTCCAATAAAAGAAATGTTCAAATGGCTATCAACATGCAAGTTATAACACAACCAAGCATAAAAAGATGAGTTCAAGCAAATGCATCATACATAATAGATGTGATGAGACATCATCAAGCGACATAAATATCTAGGTCTTACAACCTTTTAAAGAATGGAAGTTTACCCAACAATAAGGATTGAAATATTGTAGGGACAATGTTAGTCTCAAACTCAGGGTCCGTTTGAGAGCGCGACATGGGAGCGTCACGTCCTGAGACCGCAAAATTTTGTCTTTTGGCAGGGCGTCCCGCTTGCGACGGGACGCGATTCGGGTAAAAAGCCGGCTGCGGGATCGATCCCGCGGCACAGCTTTCTCGTTCTGCTTTTTACGCATCACCCCTCCCTTTGTTCGGCTTGCGCTCCTCCCTCACTGTCGACTCAGGTATCCTCTCCCCCTACCTCTCGCTTCCTCGCTCGCTCCCTTCCGATCGGTCCCTCCCTCGCTCGCTCCCTCCCTATCGGTCCCTCCCTGTCGCTCCCTCCCGTTTTCTCATGATCCCAATTGAGATCGACCCCCCCCCCCCCCTCCCCCCCCCCCGACTCCTCATCGTAAGTGCTGCGTTAGCTTTT